AGAAGGATAGGACCAAACAAAATGTTTACCTTGGAATCACATTTAATAGGCATCTTGCACTCTTCGCAGGAGTTGGCAAAAAGGCTGTCGTAACATGTAACACAGTAAGCATTCTCTTCTTTCAGCGCAAACTTCCTTCCATGAAGGGATTCCATGCAGTATTGACAGCCTGTGTCTTTACTTGTCATTTTTGGCTTCTACTGTTCAGGGAGAACGGAACATTTATTGATTTAATGGGTGAAATGTTATGGTCCATGTAAAGTCATTCAGAGGAGAGTCAGGCATTATTGGTGATAGTTAGATGAGGAATTCTGTTGGTTACTTACAGTAGCCTGGGTTTCCAACTCTGGGATCATTCGGTGACAAAATAGCAGTCTTTGCTGGCTATGTAAAACAGAACAAGAATATTGGCTCAGTTTAGTCTGTTTATATATTTGTACCAATACTCCTGACATTTACATTCTTTGCTGTTGATATATAAAAATCTTGGATAAGAAGAATAGAAAGAGAATCCATGGGAATTAAATGGGGCTTTGGGGATGTTGAGTAGACCATCATTTGTGCAACCGTTTTTCCAGTGATCTAAAAACTGCCACTCCAGCCCCTTACACCCACGACAGTAACAAAGCAGGTTATGAAAACAAGCACCCAGATACCCTAGAGTGCCACAGGTGGGGGGGGAGGCAAGGAAGATAAGTGTGCACCCACTAGCCTGCCTCTATAGTGGAAGAGAAGCTATTACATTAATATGTGCCCTGCATTACAAAGGAGGGTGAAAACCCCTGCAGTCCTTGCTAATTTGACCTGGGGAAAAATTCCTTCCTGATCTGGCTATTGGCTTGACCCTGAATGGAACAGCAGGATTGTCCAGCCAGGTACCTGATATGTTTTCAAATACTGGCAGAAGCACCCGAGTCAAAACTCCCACTCCAGTGGGAGTGGCCAATGTTCACATGTTTAGAGAAAGAAAAACACCCTCCCCTGTGCCCAACCCAATAAAGCACCCAGGAATGAACAAATTTCTTCTTGGAACATGCAGGTGACAGTAAAAGCCTGGGATTACCAGGCACCTCCAGGTAGGTACCTTTCACTCCTAACACAATGATAAGATATACTATACTAGAATCCACACAATGTATGGATTATATATAGATTATTGATCCAAGATCACCTGTCCCATCATATTCCCTTTGCATAAACCTGCAAGCGACTCAGATTTGCCACTACTTTGTTTGGAAGATCATTCCAAAACTTAACTCCTCTGCTTGTTAGAAACTTGCTTCTAAATTCTAATTTAAATTTGTTCATAGCTAGGTTTTCAATGTTTGATCTTGTGCTGATACTGTTTAGCTTAAATAGCCCTTCTCACTCCCTGGTATTTGCTCTGCAGACATAATTATAAGATGCATGAGAATTAGAAGTAATTTTATCCCCTCTAAAACCATTTAAATTCCTTACTTCATTCTACTTCATTCCCCCATACAGAATTATTGTTGCAGAAAATTAATAAACTTTAGGGTTTCCTCTGTGTTGTTAGAGTTCTAAAAGATAACCAGGAGAGAGAACTGTGGAACATAATCCTGTAAATTTTGCATTTTGACCATAATTTGGGACGTCAGAAATATGTGAGGATAGAGGAGAATATAGGTGAAACAATGTGCCATAGAGAAACTAAACCTATTTATGACATCTTTATGTGCCATCATGATCCATAAGGTCAGACAAGAGCAATGTCCTATAAGTACCATTATGAAACCAGGTCTGGTTGGTGAAAACATGCTGAAGTCATTCTCTGCAGTCCTCAGCTCTGGAACTCCCTCCCTTTTAAAGTCTGCCACAGCCAAAGCCCGAAAATCTGTCAGAAGCACTGTAAGACCTTTGCATGTGGGTAAGCATGCACCAAACAAAACTAAGATGGCATGTTTAGGAGATTTTCTAGTACCTTGTTAAGTTATTTTGGTTCTCTTGTCACTCTCCTGTTTTTAAGTTATTCTGTTTTTGTACTGTAAGCTGCCCTGTACCTTGTTGGGAAGCATGGCATATTAATCAAATGAATAAATAAATAAATAAAATGAATCCCCTTACTCTTCCCTGAAATATATCAGGTACAATGTTTTGTACTGTATTCTAGGGAATGGATATTCAGAACATGAGGCACTGTGGATGAAAGATATTTCCCAGAATGAAAGTGACTGATTGAACAGTTGATAAACCAAGGCTGCAAAGTCTTGGTGTAGGGCAGTGGTCACCAACCAGTGGATCTTGATCCACCAGTAGATCTTGGAGCCTCTTGAAGTAGGTCTGAGGTTGGGGTGGGGGGCTGAGTGTCTGCATGCATTCACGTGCACCCCCCAGCCCAGCAGGTCAGTTCATAGGGGAGGGAAAGGGTGGGGGCTAGATTGAGGCCCCTGCGGTGAGGGACAGTGACACAGAGGCAGGAGCAGGAATAAGCTGAGTGGGACCTTGGCTGGTGGGACTTACCTGCTGGGGTGGTGCGTGCCCAAATAATTTTCTCTCTCTCTGCCTCAATCTGCCCCCCTCCTTCCCTCCCCACAGACTTACCTGCTAGGCTGGGGGGGGGAGGAGGGAGGGACAGCAACACACAGTGGATCTTGGGTTGCTTTTAAAATGCCAGAGATGATCTGCTACTTGAAAAGTTTGGAGATCACTGGTGTGGGGTGATTTAGACTTTTCCTGCTTAACAGTTTCCCAGATGGTATTTTGCAGTCCCTCTCTTTCTCCCTCTCTTTTTCAGATCCTCATCCTGGAAAACCTGAAGTCCATCTTAAGCAAATATAAAATGGACAAGGAAATCTAAGTTAGCTGGCCTGCTTTGCTAAGACCATCTAAATCTAAGTTAGCTAAATATAATTTTGCTAAATCTAAGTTAGCTGACTCAAAATCAAATTTCTCTTTTGTTGTTGTTGGAAAAAAAATTAGCCCTTTGCTTTTCTCTCATCCTTCTGTATTGCCATGTTTCATCCAGGACATGACTTGGCAGTACCAGAATACTGTGAGAAAATTGGTAGTTCCATGCCAGCCAGTTGCAGGAAATGCCATAAATCTACTGCTAGCCCAGTCTCATGAGTTTTTCTTCCTTCATTTTTACAGGTCAAAGAGGTCTGGATAAGCATCCAAACATTGGGCGCCTGTAAATGCTTGGAACTGTGAACCTTATGAGCCTTGTGGGGATGGAGACTTATTTAAATCTTGTTATTTAGAGTTGAATCAACAGCACTTGGCTAAAATTGGGATTTCGTTCCTGGGAATGAGAAAAACAGAATCCAAAACATTCCCAGTGAAACAAAATTAGAAACATCTGCTGCACCCATTAAAATCTATAGTTTATTAACTCATCAGTGAGTGTCAATCTGCAGTTAGTGCTAACAATCATGAAAAGTTAGAGGAAATAAAAAGAATGAATAAAGATTCTTAAAATATTTAGATATCAGCTGACTAAAGTCACTTAAAGTTTTCCACATACTGCTAAACTATTTAGTAAATTACAGTTGATATAAACAATATGTAAAGGGTGAAAAATAAGAAAGGGTGAAATCAAACGTTATACTTAGATGGGTGAGTCTCAACCTGGGTGCCATGGTGTACCACACAAAGTGTTAGACTCAAAGCTCCCCTTAATAAATTGAAGGCACCCCTCACTAGGGCCAAGGCACCCTTCACAAATGTCAAAAATGCATTCAAACCATTCTGACCTGCTGTTGTCTGAGTTCTTTGCTACAGAAGAATTGCTCTGTTATGCTAAAAACAGACAACCAGCTTTGTTCAAATTACAGTGTTTTATCTTGTGGCAAACCCCAGACTTTACAGATGAAGAACATTAAGTACCTGTGAATGCTACAAATTAACACTTTGTTTTGGAAACATTGTAGCTATTTTGGGGAAATTGACATTTAAAGCCTTGTGTGAAAACAATCCATGTGTGTCATATCCCAGACCAATCAGTGTCATATTAAACCAGTTGACTGTTCTTAGCCTTATTTTTCTGTAGTCAAAAATAAAGTGAAAACTAAGACCTGACATTTTCTGAGGGGTGCTTTGATTTTAGTGAGGGGTGCTTTTGGTTTATCAAGAAGAGCTTTGAATCTAAAAAGGTTGAGAACCACTGCTTTAGTGTTTTTCAGTAATAAAACAGAGTGAAATCTAAGAGCTGACATTTTCTGAGGGGTGCCTGAAGTCTAACAAGGGGTGGCTTGAGGCTAAAAAGGGTTGAGAACTAACTTAGATCATACTAAAGCTGTGGAATGTTAAGCGATGTTGAAGAGCGAATGTGCTGTGAGCAGTTGCATGTTAAGGGTTAATGCCATTTCTTGCCTGCACAATTCTGACTTGCATATAGGGGGCTGGCTAGCAGGGACATGGCTAGGACCCAGGACACCTGGGCTCTGTCTCTGTTCTTGGGAGGGTAGGAAGAGAACTGGCAGT